CTAGCCTTTTCTTACTGTCTCTGGGCAGTGATTTTCCCATCAGTTGCACTCTGTCCAACTCTATAGTGCTGGGATCCTGAGCCTTGGGAATGGACCCATGTGAGAAAGGGTGAGCAGGGATTCTTGGCTGCTTTCTCATTGCTCCACCTCCATTCTTCCTTCTCCCTCCCCAGATGGCATGATCAACATTGACATGACTGGAGAGAAGAGGTCCTTGGATCTCCCATATCCCAGCAGCTTTGCTCCCGTCTCTGCACCCCGAAACCAGACCTTCACTTACATGGGCAAGTTCTCCATTGACCCCCAGTACGCTGGTGCCAGCTGCTACCCAGAAGGCATCATCAATATTGTGAGTGCAGGCATCCTGCAAGGGGTCACTTCCCCAGCTTCGACCACAGCTTCATCCAGCGTCACCTCTGCCTCCCCCAACCCACTGGCCACAGGACCCTTGGGTGTGTGCACCATGTCCCAGACCCAACCTGACCTGGACCACCTCTATTCGCCACCACCGCCACCTCCTTATTCTGGTTGCGGAGGAGATGTCTACCAGGACCCCTCGGCGTTCCTGTCAGCAGCCACCACCTCCACCTCCTCCTCTCTGGCCTACCCACCACCCCCTTCCTACCCGTCCCCCAAGCCAGCTACGGACCCAAGTCTCTTCCCCATGATCCCTGACTATCCTGGATTTTTCCCATCACAGTGCCAGAGAGACCTACATGGTTCAGCTGGCCCAGACCGCAAGCCCTTTCCCTGCCCCCTGGACTCCCTGCGAGTCCCCCCTCCACTCACTCCACTCTCCACGATCCGCAACTTTACCCTGGCGGGGCCCAGTGCTGGTCCCACAGGGCCAGGGGCCGGTGGAGGCAGCGAGGGACCTCGGCTGCCTGGCAGCAGCTCAGCAGCAGCTGCAGCTGCTGCCTATAACCCCCACCACCTGCCGCTGCGGCCCATTCTGAGGCCTCGCAAGTACCCCAACAGGCCTAGCAAGACACCAGTGCATGAGAGGCCCTACCCGTGCCCAGCAGAAGGCTGTGACCGCCGCTTTTCCCGCTCTGATGAGCTGACACGGCACATCCGAATCCATACGGGGCACAAGCCCTTCCAGTGTCGGATTTGCATGCGCAATTTCAGCCGTAGTGACCACCTCACTACCCACATCCGCACCCACACTGGCGAGAAGCCCTTTGCCTGTGACTACTGTGGCCGCAAGTTTGCCCGGAGTGATGAGAGGAAGCGCCATACCAAGATCCACCTGAGACAGAAGGAGCGCAAAAGCAGTGTCCCTTCCTCATCTGTGCCTACGGCCTCTACAGCCTCTTGCACTGGAGGCACACAGGCTGGGGTGTCCCTGTGCAGCAACAGCGGCGCTATTGGTGGAGGGTCCCTAGCCCCTTGCTCCTCTAGGACCCGGACACCTTGAGATGAGACTCAGGCTGGCTGACATTCCAGCTCCCTGAGGTCCTGGAGGCCCTTCGTCCACTTGGAGCTGCACAACAAACACTACCACCCTTTCCTGCCCCTCTCTCCATTGGGCAAAGGGCCTTGGTGGAGCCCAGCACTGCCCCCCTTTCCACCCTGAAGCAGGTCCTTCCTAAAAACCCATCTTAGTCTCTCTTTGGTGAGTTGACTATCACCCCCGAGGTAATGGGGAGGTTCAGAAGGGGCTTGGGTGGGGGCCTCTGGCCTAAAGGCCTGAGGCCTGACCCTGCTTTAAAGGGTTGTTTGACTAGATTTTGTCCCCTCCATTTTATTTTGACCGATTGCAAGTTTTTGACTCTGAATGTCAGAGATGATCTGAGACTTTTTCTACAGTAGGTTGGGAGATGCTGATCCCTTCAGGTAGGGACAGCAAAGACAGAAGCAAAACTGACGTGCACTTTATGGCTTGGAGCCGATTTGGGGGACGCTGTACAGTGAGTGAAGCATGATCTTTATGCTGCATTCTGTGGCCCTAGAACAGTGAATCAAAGCTTATCTAGTCGTCTCAACCCTTTAAGCAATATGTATTATAAACTCAGAGAACAGAAGTGCAATGTGATGGGAGGGACATAGCAATATCTGCTCCTTTTTGAGTTGTTTGAAAAATGTAAAGGCTATTTTTGCAGTGTATATCCACTCAGATTTTGTGTATTTTTTATGTGCACTGTTCTCCAAGTTCTAAACCTTTGGGAAAAAAAAGTAAAGCATTTATGATCTCTTGAAATGAGTCAAAGGTTAACTTATTTAAAAGGGGGTGTACATATATTCTCTGAAACTAGGATGCATGCAATTGTGTTGAAAGTGTCCTTGGTGCCTTGTGTGATGTAGACAATGTTACAGGGTCTGCATGTAAATGGGTTGCCTTACTATGGAAAAAAAAAATCACTCCCTCAGTTTAGTATGGCTGTAAATTTCTGCCTATTAATATTTGAAATTTTTTTTAGAAAGTATATTTTTGTATGCTGTTTTGTGACTTAAAAGTGTTACCTTTGTAGTCAAATTGCAGATAAGAATGTAAATAATGTTACTGGAGCTGACTTGTTTGGTTATTAGCTCTTAATAGTTGTGGAAATCTAAATGATTTATTCTAACACAAAACCACTAACTGAAGTTCAGAAGATGAATGGTTTATGACTATAGTGTAAATAAATACTTTCCAACAATATTTTTACTGTAGAAATCATTTCCGAAAGATTTAGTGGGTGGGAATTCGATAGTCATCCAATGGTTATTAGTGCCTTGACCAAGCCAGAACCTCCAAATTTCTCTCCTAGTCTCTCAACACCAGCCCTCTCACCCCAAAGCAATCTCCATTCATAATCAAACGCTAGTGTTCCGGGGATTTCCCCCATGTGTTAGTGTAAAAGTGGGGAGGCGTTGTTTTGACTCATTGTTCCGTCCTCTGTAACAGCCTATAGCTTCTCTCCATTCCTGAGTGGGCTCCGGAAAATAAATACTTACAAACAAGTGCCCACTCGGAGACTACACACTTGCGGCTGCTTTTAGAACCCTGACCAGGGCCAGGAACTCAGACGAGATGCGGCTTTGTGGAAAGTGTGGTGGCGTGGTCAAGCTGGAAATGACTTTCAGGTTCCAGGATTAGTCTCATGACCACAGAAAACTTTTTGAAAAGCTTTATCACCTCTATAGATCAAAAATGCGTTCAGACACTGCTGATGACAGCATTAATGGGTTGCCAAAGGAATTACCCCAGGACTCATTTCTCCCCAGCCTTCTCTACCCTATTACCCCTACTCAAGATAATTAATCTGCCATAGATTTGGTGGGTCTAGAGATCATCAAAACACCCCATATATTACATAAGGTACACTAGCCTTAAAAATCTCAAAGAAGGTGGGTATTAGACTAATCAGGGGATCACTTAATAAATTATATGTCTAACCACTATGCTTTACACTTGAAACTAATATATTGAATATCATCTGTACTGAAAAAAAAAATCTTACAGAAAGACTATCTGAAATAGGCAAATATGGTCCTCCACGGTAGTGAATGGTTTGCAAGAGTACACTATAGGGTTCATTTTACTGTAAGCCTTTTGTAGTGATTTTAAAATACACATTCACCAAAAAAAAAAGTTATCTACCTATCATACAAAGCAAATGATTCTGTCTTCGTGATCTTTAAAATTGGGCCTAAATATTTTTCACCCACGGCTTTTAGATCCTTACACAAGTTTAACATTTAGGAGCGCCCATTATTTAGCTACACCATCCGAAAACCTTGTCCTGTTTGTCCTGGCTGATAATTGATGGTCTGTATTTTTACAGAGAACTACGACTACTACTTTTGCCCTTACCAACACTAGAATTGGAGATCTAATTTGTGGAGGTAATTATCCCTTTTCTTATTCCTTCTTGTCCAAATTGCAGATGCAGAACACCTCTTTCTATAACTACGAGTTTCTAAAGTTCAGTGTCAGAATGTTCTAATGACTGGTGTTATTCCATTAGATTCATATTTCCTAGCTTATTAGCATATTATCATCCTTATTTGGCCAATTTTAATACCTATAAAACATTACTATATTTTGATAAGTTTAATATTTCCCGCTTACCAAAATTTCATTAAAATATAGTACACCTAAAGTTTGTAAGATCTCTAATTGTCTTGCTAAATTTTAATTTCAGAGCACCTATAATTGAGATAATGTAAACAATTGTTTATGAAGCAACATACTTTTTTTAAAAGTTATTTTTAAAAGACTAAGATTAAATACATTTTATGGTTATAGAATCACTTTCACCTTGACCTGGGCTTGGTGAAATGCCATAACACACCTCAGTGTTTTTTCAGTCAACCTTGTGGCTTTTACTCCGTGATTTAAACCTATTAAATCAATCTTTAATCATATTTTACAGTCTGCTGAAACATTTACTGAATCATTCAGATACTTTTCACAGGTGTCTGCTTTTTCCACTTTGCATATTAAGTCTGCTTTTTCTTATATTCAATGTTTTATTGAATGTTATTGATGTTCAGCTGCTACTGAGAATTCTGATTAAAAATAAATTTCTGGAGAGCAAATTCATTAAAGATCATAATGCATCTGAGATAGTGCACATTAAAAATAGGTCTATTAAACTTAAATAAGGTTTTCAATTATTCATAATCAGGCTAATTTCAACATCCTAACTACTAATAAAATTAAGGCAAATTGTTTGATATATATTAAAAATGGTTGTAATGACATTTTAACAGTCCAACACAATTTTTTGTGTGTGTGTGGGAAAGAATGGTCAGCATCATTGCAAAATAATATGATTAAACATTAAAGTTTCAGAAGTATTTTCAATCAGACTTTCAAAGCTCACTACTAAGGAAATAAACTTTTAAGTTTATATTACTACGTGGACTCTAGATAATCTGCAGGCCACCAGTTTTTACTACAACATAATATTGGAGTATAGACTACGAACCTTTAACAGTAATTAAAATGTAGTCATCATAGCAAGTAATACTTTCCTTTTCCATTTTGCAGTCATTAAATAAGATTTAACTCTGAACAATTTCAAACATGCCTTTATTTTCCATAAGTACACCGATTTTAATTCAGCAATGTAAACAACCCTGGATCTGACAATTCAGTATCTATATGGGATTTAACAAGTGATTTCCTTGACAGTAGATGCTTCATTGCACTGAAGTGATCAGTGGTCAACCTGTTTGTAACCTGAAGTCCTGAATTCAGACCAGAAGTTACATGAGTGTTACTGCCCTCAAGTTAGAGTTGAATACCGATGGGCAGAGCCCTGAATTAAAGGTATATTGCTTCTTCATAGAGCAGTAGAGCCATAGCACAAGATTCAGTCATTTGTAATGGATGAGTGATGACAGAGTCCTGAGATGCCAAGAGTGAGGCACCTACAAGGGGATAATGCAAAAGGAGGACCTCAAGGAGTGTATTTTGGGAGAAGGGCTATTAGTGATAAAAGGTCTGAGAACCCACCCGTTGGCAAACACATATTACTTTAAAAATAGGCCCACCATTTTCATTAATACAGCAATTGATGTAAATTCAATCCATGCAAATCAAGCTTTGTAAAAAATCAGTTCTCATAAAGTAATAGGTAGGTACACAATATTCTCCATTAATGTAAGTGGCCATTGATATAACCAGAGAATTAAAAAGCTTCAGAAGTATTTAGACAACTTCTCACCCATGAGAAGAAATTATTGCATTTGTTATTCAACAGAAAAGTTAAGTGATTAGTTTCATTGTGCTCATTAGTCTTTGTAGGGGAAGACAACTTTTTCCCAGCTGTTACTGAAAGTCTATATTGCAGGAATACATGGAAACACAATAGCAGCACATGAAGTCAGTTGTGACTAACAGTTTATGGAGAAAGGTGCAAGGTTTTTTTGCACATTTGTCTTTGTAATAAGAATATTCTTCCCTTAGTGGCTCACTAAAACAAGATGCATTTTGTGATCACCATTAACTTATTCAGAATTTATTAGTGAACCAAGTTTTATTACTCTTATTAAACTATTAGAGAGATACCATATTGCTGTTTTGGCCTGCAACTTCAATTATTCTTCTGAAAAGCACTTTAGCTTTTTTCATTCATCTTGCTTGTACTTGAATTTTAAAACTTTTCATAATGAAGTCTGGAAAAACAATTCCTCCTTTATTACTGTCCTATTGCCAGTTTTTGTAGGTTAATGTACCCCAGGTTGTATTACAACATACACATCACAATCCACATCTTTGTAAGTCAATCAATTTTTTGCTACAATATAATTCAAAACAGATAGGTATGTGATTGATAACTATACCCATTCATTACTGTTATGAAAAAAAAAGCCATTCAGTGAACTTTCTTAAGAAAATCATCATTTGCATATGTAGAGCTTATTTTCAAACTGAATGGCATGAAGAACTGCTTCAAACTGCCCTCAAGGTATACTATACCACACCAGAAAGTGAAGCTACCATAAATCAGCATTAGGAAATGCTTGGCATTATGCCTGTCTGGTTTTACAACGTAGTGGCATGTCACACTGATTAAGCATCTTTTTTGTAAAATGAAAAAGAAAACAAGAATTTGCTTTTTCATTCTATTTTAAAAATTGGGAATATTCTTTCACCGTGGGCCTCTGTAACCCAGTACATAAAGGCACATACCGTTTCCCTACGAGGTTGACACTTTCCACCAATAGCAAATCTCCCTTTATTAGATATTAAAACTAGATTGCCATATAGGCAAGTCAATCAAGAGGGCTTAGATGACAGCTGGGCAAATTTTAATATTTATTTCTACAGTTTATTTTTATTCAAAGTTTGTGAAAAAAGGAATCCTATAAATAGTAAAAAGAGGAAACTATAGTGCTCCTTGGCCTGAAGCAAATGGTGTCAATGCGTTTGTAAACATGGTCAAGTTGCTCAGCTTATTAAAAGGACAAGAATAAAACTAGTTACAGATAGCACAACTGTTCAATTGATGAGGCTGGGAAGTGTTTTTGTCCCAAGTTTTGGTGCCCTACAATGGCCAGTATAGTTAAATCTCAATTCTCCAGTCTCATTCACCAGTGCCTTCTCTCTCTTCCACACTAGATGAAGCAAGCACAGGTACTCTTCTGTTTGAGGGGGAGGGTTCTAAGAACACTGCCAACCAACAACACAGCTGGAAGCACCAGCCTTCTGGAGTATTAGAGCTGAGAGAATGTGAAACAGTCATTTCTACTTTTGCAGGAAAACCCTAGAAGTAAATAGGGACATGAAATTCAAGACCCTGGCTAAGGGTGTTTTACATTCAGTTGTTTGGAAGCATACTGATTCAGCATCTCTGAATCTTCTGGTTAGAAAATACAGAATTACTCTATCACCTCTTAAAGAAAAGTAAGACAAGAAAAGTCTCTTGAGGATAATATAGTTTTTGCATTAAATGTGAATGTGCAACAAGAAATATGCTCAACTCACAGATCTGGAGACTCATGGGGAAGATAAGCTCTATGTGACCATTTGTCACAGACATACAGGTGTAAATTTCTTTGTAGATGCTGCCCAAGTAAACCAGATGTGGCTACTGGGCAAGAGGAGGAAAGAAAATAAATCTTGTCCTCCACATGCATAGTTATGTTTTGGGGATGATCCCCTAACTCTGGAAAATGATTTAATTTTCACAACGAATTAATTAAGCAGGACAGCTCACTTTAAACAGTAGCTCAGCTCCTCACACCCAGTTTTTACCAATGACTTGAACTAAAAACAATTCAAACCACTGGGTCATGCACAGTCAATAAGTTAAAACTATAAGAATAAAGAGTAAAAGGGCATAAGAACATAAGTGGATAACAAACCTTATTCACCAAGGTGGGGGTGGGGGGGATAGAGGAGGTCAGAAAATCTCTCAGTGTATTTTCTATAGGATGGAGAACAGAGGAAAGAATATTTTCATTATGGCTTTAAGATGGAAGCGCTTCAAGAAGTCCCCTGCTTCCCTCCTCTCCCCACAAATCAAAACCCTGGTGGCAGTGATAGAGCCAAGAAACAACCTGGCCTCCCTGCCTCCCCCGCCCCCATAACCGTGCCAGGCGACCGGAGTCCCGCGCTTCCCAAGGCTCTCGAGGAAGCGGCTACAGCCCACTCTAGTAGATCGAATGCCCAGGCCTGGGGGTAGGGAGAGAGCCCTTGTGGTGGGTCGCCAGCAGCCAGGCCCAGATCTGAGGACACGCCTTGAGCCAACAACTCCTGGGCGCCACTGGCTTCAAGGGAAGACCTTGGGACCTGGATAGGGTTCCCCCTCGCACCAGAAGTCATCCGCCTGCGGGGTCTCCAGGAGCCACACCTCTCGGGGCAGGTCACAGGTAGATCCGGAGGCCTCCTTGGCCCTGACCGGCTCCAGCACCCGGTAATAGTGACAGTCCCGGCCGTCATCGGGGTCGTAGGGCGGGGCCAGAATGTCCAGGAAGGCTGCAGGCCCATCCACAGCGTCGATCTGATGTAGGTTGTCCCGGTGCGGCGTGAGGACGCAGGGACCGCTGGCCTCGGTGTACTCGGCCCGCGAGCGCAGCACGCCCGGCCGCACGGCGTCCCGCTCACGGGCCTGCAGCGGCGGCTCGAACTGCGGTCGTTGTACGCCGCCTGCCTCCAGCTTGTCCATGCAGCTGATGCGCACTGTGCCGTAGAGCACCTTGAGCATGCCGTGCATGCCCGGGTGGTCGTGCAGCGGGATGGACGTGCCACTCTTGAGCAGGAACACACCGAGGCTGAAGCCTTCTGTCTCGTAGATGTGCATGTAGGTAACGGGTGGCAGGTTGGGAGGCGGCGGCTGCAGCGTGGCTTTCTGCGGGGCGATGTTCAGATCTTCGGCGCGGACCTGGGTCAGCAGGCTTTTCAGCTTGCTCAAGTTCTCCGGGAAGCCCTGCGGCATCGACGCCTCGGGGCCTGGCACCGCGCTGCGGTCGGAACCGCTGCGGCCGCCCCCGCTGCCCCGGAAGGTGAGGCACGCCTGGCGGGCGATCCGTTGGATCAGGGAGGCCATGTTGTCTCGGGGCATGCTCGAATGTTCCTCCGCATGCCGGGGCCGGCCCCCTCCTTTCCTCCGCCCCTTGCGATCCCCGGAGGCCGCCACCGCTGCGCGCAGCCGGGGGCGAGGCAGGAGGCCCCGCAACTATCGGCCCGTTGGGCGCGCGGCACCGCTGCCGCCCAGCTCAGCAGCGACGCGCCCGCAGCGACCTGGAGCGACCGGCACACACCCCCTTCCAGCGCGCACGCGCACGGCCCACACCCTGCACTCACGCTCTGGGAGCAGGTACCGCCGTGCAGACGGTGGCAGGCTTTGCCTTACGCCGGACGCTTCATTCAGGCGGCCCGCACCTACGACGGTGGCCAGGCTCTCTGGGCGCCGTGCAGAGCATGCTGGGACTTGTAGTTCGATATTCCGCACGCACTCTGAGAAAACTCCCTTTGGTCAACTGGAAAAAGGAAGAATTCGATTTGTTGGTTATAAAGCGAACTTCCTTACAGTTCTAAGGTGTTTGCTTATTTGAAAAAAGGCCATTTGGGGGGCAAGAGAAGTAGTTAACTACAACTCCCAGCTTCCCCAGCAAGCCGGGTGACGCACTTACGGCAGCTGGCCTGTGGTGTGGTGGAGGCTTTTGGCCCTCACAAGGACCAGAGCAAGAGGGTCGTTAACTTTTTGGCACCGCTCGGGCGTAGTCGGCCAACCAGGGTCGCTTTCCTTTAGCCTCACCGGTGGGAAGGAGGCTGTTAACTTTAGCTTCTTGTAGCCTCCGAGGCAGCAGTGTCTGCCATGGGGGTTATGGGACGGCGTTTTCGTAATTTTTAGTTTTTTTTTTTTAGGAGATGAGAGGATCGAAGTTGTCCCTGGTGATCACGACTGTTCTGCACAGCTGGCCCCAGCTGTTGTTTGCATCAGAGTCTGGTGACGCTGCTTTTCTCGTTACAGAAGAAGTTGCTGGGACTTGAGAGGCCATTTGCTGTGGTCACGGATACTGTGTATCAAACCTTGGTTTGCCCAAGAAGCACCTGGTTTGGGGAGGAAGCTTTTTAAAAATACAAATTACTGGTCGTCCCCCAGATATCGAATCACTAGGTGATTCTGAGGCAACCTATGAGAAACAATGTGCAAGAATCAGGCAAGCTCTTCACCTTGACCCTGAGTAGTTTGTTGAAACTGTAGATTCCCAGATCATATGGAAACCTACTGCATCTGAATCTTTTGCTAGTTAAAAAATTTTAAGAACTGCTGAGTGTCCACAGGGCATGTAGTACTTTTTTTAGGCGATAGACAGACTACCTTCATAATTCCTTTTGATGCTGCCCTTCAGAGCTGCACTATTGGATGGATCAATCGTAAGGTCTTTGCCCTTAAGAAGCCCTTTATTTGACCTTCTGCCCCAGTGCCAGTAGCATAGGCTGAGTGTTTCTATTGCCATTCGTGTCTTTCATTTTATGCTCCTTGTTCAATTTTCCTGTGTGTTGCAGTAAGCGGAATGAAGACCAAAAGAAATTCAGAAAAGGGAACAGACTAAAGAGAAGTGATAGTGAACAAGTGCTAGAAATACAAGGCAGAAAGAAGATTTGGGAAAGTTTAGAATAGATGGAATCTGTCATTTGATAAATAGTGAGAATTCACTGGGTACCAGGCACTGTTCTAGGCTTTGGGGATTTGGCGAGGAATAGCCACATACGCAAAGAAGTGTGTGTGTGTGTGTGTGTGTGTGTGTGTGTGTGTGTGTGTGTGTGTGTATTTTGGGAGTGGAGGTTTTTACATAGTACAAGTAAATGAACAACATAATTTCAGACAAGAAAGTTTATGAAAAGAAAACAAGATGATAGGATATTGTGACGCGTATATGTCATGTTACCTTAAATTGGGTTGTGGGGTGACATTTTAGCTGCTCCTGCATATTAAGCAGTCAGCCATGGAAAAATCTGGGATCAGTGCATTCCAAGTCTAGGAAATAGCCTCAAAGTTGTATTGGATACAGGGTATTGGATACTGTGACTTTGACAGGTGGGTAGGAGCTTGATATAATTAGAGATCAGAATGAAGGTCTGTGGGGTTAAAGCGCATAATGACCTTCAGAGTTCCTAGAGGGAGATGAAGTTGGGGATGTAGGCAAGGGCCATATTACACAGGCCTTATAGGCCATGGGAAGGGGATTCTAGGGAGTTTAGGGGCATTGTAGGGAATTGGATTTTATTATAAGTGCGGTGAGAAGTTTTTGGAGAGCATTGATTGGAGGATGACTTGATCCGTTCTACATTTTTCAGAGTGGTGGTAGGGGAAGTGTAACAGTGCAGAAACCCTTATTGGAGGCAGTAATACAGAGGAAAGACAAGAGAACTAGTGTAAAGATTAGGAATCTGTTTTGTAGGTGGAGCTGACAGGGCTTGCTATTTTTTGGCAATCTATTTCTTTCAGTATATTTCATTTTCGTGAGTTGACAGCTATGTGATGATAGATAAAACTGATAAAGCTTAAATCTCACCTCCTGTCCATGTCTAACTATTAAATTTAGGAATGGGTGAAGCACACACAAGCATGAGTAAAGCTGAGATTTTTTTTTTAAATAGTTGCTTAATTAACCAGGAACCAAGTAGAACTGGAAGAGCCCCCAGCATACATATATTTTTTTCTTAACTCTACCTGCTCATTTATATGATCTCTTCATTCTTTTGTATTTTGTCTTTCATCCTTTTTTCCCTGGCCCTCATCCTTATGAGGTCTTATTTTCCTTAATTCACAAGATAGCTTACCATTTGACTTTTTCTCAGATCATCAGAATTCATTTTGTCCATCTCTTTTGATCGCACTGGGACCCAGTCAAAAGAGTATAAAAGTTTTGACATTCTCAAATGTTCAGGGTTCCTAGCCTGCAGTGTTTGTTGGTTTTTCATGTGGGCAGGAAGGTTTCTTTTTTTTCTAATAGCTCTTGCCAACTTACTCTTACATCTGCATTTTATGTTAGTGGAGAACATAGTAAATTGATAATTTTTTTCCTACTTTTAGACTAACTTTGAAATATTTGGGGTTTACTTTGTGGATTTCCTTTCAGTATAAAAAATGTTAGCATGTATTTCTCATCTATTATCATGAATGAATGTCGAGATGTAAGAATATAAATAGTCGCGAAGGCAGAATAGCTGGTTCTAGGCATGGCTTCGCCACTAACTAGCTGTGTGTTCTTGAGCAAATCACTTGACTTCACTAGATCCCATTTTCTTCATGATTCAGGTAGATGACCTCTGAGATTTTTTTCAGCATCTCATTAGCCCAAATATGGATGATGGAGATAGTTATAAGGACAATTCAGACAAAACCTAACATGGATTTTCTTTCATCTCATTTATCTGAAATTATCACACCGTAACTCTTATGGATCTTAATGGAGATCATGCTAAGTAAATCTGCTCCATTCTACTCTGATTTAGCTTTGTGTGGTTATCTAAAATCAAATCACTTAGGTGTATGGGCCATTCAGTTAAATATGCTAAGCTCAGGAATTTTAATTGTTCAAGTTAGACTTTAGATTTATACACTGCACCGATAAATTACAGGAGTTATGTTGTGTGATGTAAGCTATAGACATTGTTTTTAAACTGTTATTCTGTAGAACAGTACATGCAGATTTGAGATGGAGAAGGGCTTATGTTAATTCCTTTTTTCTCTTTTTTGCCAGTGTCTTAGTTCAGGCAGTGGGGGGCAAGAGAAGAAGAAATTAAAAATTAGGAACATGTAGAGGGAGGTTGAGGGGGGAAAAAGAAGCTGTGTCTTTCACAAGTCAATAACAAAGAGAAGCTTTTGCTATACTCAGTCTGAAGCACAGCCAGCGGCCAGTTATTGCCATTTTGAGAAGTGAATTAAGATTGTAACACTCCCCTCCAAATTTGGTATTAGAGGCTTTCCTCTTCTCCTATATGTAGTGCAATTATTATGAGACCCAAAATAATACTGAACTGTAAATTAAATTCAAACACCCTTTACCTCTCTTAATTATGCTCCCCCCATTTCATGCTTCTTGTTTTTCTGCCCCCCCCACCCCCCCGCCTTTTTTCTCTAAGAAGACATGAGCTATCTCCACCTCCTCCGCTTCCCATCTGTCCTTTTCCTTTTGGCGGAAAGGAAGATTTTTACTTTATATTTATTTTAATTAATGGATTTGAATCACAAGTGGTGAAACAGTTGATGTTCATCTTTAAGAGGCAGTGAAAGGGAAAATCATCTTTTTTAACTTGGCAGAAAAGAACTGTATGTTCACTGCTTGTGTCTGCCTGAAAAATGACTGTGAAAGGGGCAGGGGAAAGTTCCAGAGTCTGTGTCACTGCAAGGAACAGACACACCATATCCCAAGATCATAGGAAGTAAAGATAGGCAAAATTCTTCAGAATGAAATTGTACTTTCTTGGGAAATGCCTTTTTCAAGGGATATTCAGTAAGTATTGCTTGATGGTTTATGGTCTACCAATTTAGGATCAAATTCCCTAGGAACAATATAGCAGGATGTAATTTAATTGCTTGAACACTCTAATGAATAAAATCCACTAAGTTTGTTATATTTTCCTTTTTAGTTGGACAAGGCAAATGATACCTTTTTTTTTTTAAAATTTTGGTACTCTCTTGGATATATACCTTAGAAGACATCTGGGACGTTTGACTGACTTGAAATAGGGACAGTATTACACATGTTTCCTTGGAGAAGTGAAATGCTACTAATCAAAGCTGCTTTTGAAAAAAAAAGTAACAACAAGGTCTAGATGCTCTCATAGCATTTTAGAGAGAGTGTGATAAACAACAGTACAATTTGAAAGTGGAATAGCAGGAATCAAGGAAGAAAGAACAATTGACTGAAAGGATGCCAGTTCTCCTCATTCTAGTAACCTGCTGTGTGACTTTGGGTGAGTCTTCTAACTCCTTGGAACCTCAGTTCCCTTATTTATAGAGTGAAGAATTTAGTCTAGATAATATACAGCTTTCCTTCCAACTTAAAAAAAATCCATGAATTTTTAAAGTTGTGATTATGTAACATTAAGTAATATAATTTAATACTATGAAATACTGCAGAGCGTCACAAATAACACTTTTTAAATGTATTTTTAAAAACAAGATGTGAAGAGAACACTCAGTAACATGCACACAATGATATTTGATTTCTCTTTTGTGTCTGTATTGTTTCTACCTAAAGCAGATTATATTGACATTTCCTGAATATAAATCATTGAATAAAATGGGCAAGAGCTCTTGTTTAAATAATGTTTACCATTATTATTAAGTTTCCATATTATATTTTTAAGGAAAAGCTTTTTTTTTTTTTCTATGCTAAGCATAAATTATCATGCAACAAGAGTGCCATGTATTACTATTGGGAAAAGCAAAACATGCCTTGAGTTAACTACACATTTCAACAGGACCTGCTGAGGTAATTGATAACCACCATTACAGCTTGGAGAAATTCCTCTAAAGTAGCAGAGCTTTAGTTTAATTAGATAATTAGCCCTGGTCAGCCCATAATGAATGTACAAACAATTAGCAATGAATTCGGGCTGTTAAAACCTAT